GGGGGGAGAGCTCCTCTCCCGTTGGAAGCTGCAAGCCAATCCGTGGGCGGGAAACATCGGGGCTCCCACTCCGAGTCTCAGCCCGCACGGCCCGACCTGTCTGCGGTCTGTCCCCGCAGCTGGCACAGCGGGGGGCCCGCCAGCCACAACCACGGGCGGGGCCCGCCAACCACGGGCGTGGCCCAGTTCCTGCTGCTAACAAGGTGGACTGCGATCTTCAAGCCATGTCGAAAGTTTGATTCTGTAAGTTACAAGTATTCACAAGCTCTGAAAGTGGGTCCCAAACCCAGGTAAAAAGTGTCCCTGCTGAGAGCTGACAGAGCCCGGGGTTGCCCCCCTCCTGCCCGTCCCCGCCTGCCCTCATCCACCAGCACCCCCGGAAGTCGCCCTCCATGCTTCCAACGCGGCCAGGCGTTCCCGCCATTGTCCAGATGACAAGACGCCCCCCAAATCCCCACAAGTCAAGCTCATGTGAAAGCTCTTTGTGCCACTTTCCTGGACACACGAGCACAGCCTCGTCTCCGGCTGGGCTGCCGTCACTGGCTTCCCTGCCCAGCTCCCCAGAGGGGGGAGCTGTCTGTGGCTTTGAAGGAGGGGCTCAGGAGACAAGTTAGTAAACACGGGAAGGGAAGAACGAAAAAATAAAACACTGTGACTGGGGAAAACCTGGCAGCTGATATGAATGGTGAATTCCACTACGGTCAGTAATTACCCCTTTTTGGTCAGGAATCTGCAATCTATGTAGAAATTTGAAGGAATCTTTTTTTTTTTTTTTTTTTTTGAGAATTCTTGTTCTTCTCTCCCCTAGATTCCCCAAACATGGAGACAGTAAGTCCTGTGAGTATAGAAATTTTAACCAACCGTAAGGTAGGATGCAGTAATAAAAGCAGCTCTTTCTGAATTTCATTTTGAACGAAACATACAAAACCCAAGCTTATAAAGTAAGGTAGGAGGGGAGAGAAAGCGTCTTACTAGTAACATGCTCACACACTCAGCATCAGGTCTTCCAAATGCGTCCACCTGGGGACCAAATGCCATGGCACGCAGTGGTTCAATGAAGGTGCAACCCTGATGGGGGCTGGAGGGAGGGGGCTCCCTGAAGACTCTCTGCCCTGCTTCCTCCAACGACGTGGTGCTGCAGGATGTGCCAGCACAGAAGCACCGGTTCGCCAGCTCCAGTCCCAGACATGTTCAGCGCCCCTTCTGGACTTGCACACAAGTGAACCAAAACACCACGCCTGGCCCATGCTCTGACCACAGGGGGGCGAGAACCGTCCCCCGAAACACACTGGCCTCAGCACAGATCAGGAAACGTCCAGGTTGGTGGAAACAGACAGTGCAGGGCTGATCTGGGAAAACCTCACTGACATCTGACCTGTGTGACCCACGGGGCACCCTGACCAGTGCAGACCACAGACAGCGACTTCTGGGCTTGGGCACCGGGGATCCATGGCCTGTCCCAAGTCCATATTTTGTAAAAGATCATAGAAAATTTATATCTAACTCTCAAAAAGCAAAACCCAGAGAAAAGTCTGTCATTCCCCACAGGATGATTTCTAGTGGAAATAATGAACAGCGGGCTCGCAAACGGGAGAAGAGGCCGGGCAGCCTCCATGCCACTTTCTACGACGCGCGCCAGCTTGTGCTGACAAACCCTTCCTGGGGAAGCGTCCGCGGGGACAGGGCACCGCTGATGCCCAGAGGGCCCAGCAGGCCCAGCCTGGAGAACGTGCGTTCGCGCACACCGCCGCACAGACCTCAATAAACCCCATTCAGCCGTCACTGCAGGCTGGCCTCGGCCCAGAGGGCTGTGCCTGGTACCCAGCCACCCTGGCGTCACACGTCCGGAGGGAAGGAGCAGAGGTGGAAGGAGGTGAGCAGGACGTCTCTGGGCTGGGAACATGCGAGTCAAAGGCGGGCCTCATGGGTGGGTGGGTGGGTGTGTGGGCGGGTGTGTCTGGGCGTCTGGGGTGTGTGTCCCACCCTGGGGAAACTGACCAAGACACTGAGTGTCCCCCGAGGGAGTTTCCTAGTCCTCTGCAAAGTCCCTGACAATCAGCAAAATAGGAAAGATTCCTACAGCATAAACACACATTTTCCACCCTGGGACTGACCAAGACACTGAGTGTCCCCCGAGGGAGTTTCCTAGTCCTCTGCAAAGTCCCTGACAATCAGCAAAATAGGAAAGATTCCTACAGCATAAACACACATTTTATCTCTAGAGGGGTAGGGGAGAGGAAATGGCGGACCCCCTGGGACGCCAGGCTTCAGCAAAGAGCCGCCCGCTTCAGGGGCCCCCCAAGTGCCCGGGGTGGGGAAGTCTGATCTGCAGATGGAGTAGAGCAGCAGAGGCCAAGCAGCCTGGAACTACCCGACATCACATGATAAACACCGTTCTTCTCACCTTGAGGTTGAAAGTGGTAACGACGCGGAAGACGCACTTTAGGACGTCAGTCACTGACCCCCCCCAACCCCCCTTTCACATTTCCGTTCAGGCAAGAAGGGCTTCGGGTCAGGAGTGGAGGTGGCTCATGGCTGGCCCGTCCTGCCAGTGGCTGCCCTGCATCTGGGCCACTGTCTCACCAGGACAAACGTGCCGGGCCCTGGGACAGTCCAGGCCCAGAACATGACTCCTGTGACCGCCCAAGACATACCTGGAACCACACTGCACCCTGTATTCACAGCAGCCTGACGGAGAGAGAGCGCCCAGGCTCACTGTGAGGGTGAGAGCCTGAGCTGAGAAAAGCAGATCTGACCAGAGGCCACTGTCCCCAGAGACGCGCTGAGCCTCGTCCGGGCTCATGCCATGCCCACGGCGTAGCCCTTGCTGCCCGGCTCAGACGCCTGGCGGTCCGGCTCCAGCTGGGCCTCAGCAAAGCGCGCAGGCGGGAGGCTCTGGGTCCTGCCCCTCCTGAGCCAGCCTCCTGGGAAGGAAGTCCTGCTGGTCCCGCACCAGAAACATTTTCTTTTGTTGTTACTTGTTTATAAAGTGCTTCAGCCACTTAAAGAAAATCTGCTTATGGCACAATTTGCCTCAAATCGATTCCAAGTTGTAGAAGGGTTTTTCAACAGAAAAAAATTATAATTGAAAGAAAACAAGCAAGTGGGAATGGATCTGAAATGGAGGTGGGAACGTGGGCCGCCCAGGCGCGGGGGCAGCGTGGCCCCTCCACCCTGGCCCTGTGCCTCGTTTGCCTGGATGGAGGGCAGCTGGGCCATACAGGACACGGGGAACACACAGAGGAGGGGCTCGCGGAGGACGCCAGACGGCGGAGCGGGGTTGCCGGGGAGAAGGCAAAACAAAGCAGCAGGATCACAGCCCCGAAGAGGTGAAGAGGCTGCATTCACAACAGCAGGACACAATTAAGAGAACATCTAGAGAACAAGGAAATGCTCTTACAACTTTTAAAAAGAGGAGAAATAAAAGTTCAATAAAGGGTGGAAGGAGAAACTTGAGAAAAGCAGAAAAGAGAAAGGGATGGACACAGGAAGAACAAGGTGGGAAAGGACGACGAGTACGCAGGGGGAGAGAACGTCACAGAAGATAACCTCCTAGAAATGCAGTAAGTGAGTCTTCAGATCCAAAGGGTCCCATTAAACGTCCAGCCCCCTCCTAGGCACCCCGCTGAGACGGGGCCGGTGCTGCGGATGCCGAAGACCCAAGCCCCCCCACCCCCTGCAACGCCCCCAGGGGGACACACTGTGTACAAAAGGGCCAGGATCACAGGAGCATCAGACTTCTTAACAGACACACTCCAAGCTAGAAAGCGACATCAGTTCTGAGCAAAAACGTTTCCAACCTAGAACTCTCTACCCAGGATAAACATCTACCTAGTGTGAATGGAGAATAATGATAATTTTCAGGTGTGGAAGTTTTTATAAAAAAATTTGCCTCTCCTGTCCCCTTCCTCAGGACTAGAAGATGTTGTCCAATAAAAGGAAGGAGCAGATCAGGAAAGGGAAGACTGGGGAGCTGGGAGAGAGGGGATGCCCAGGATGGTGTGGAAGATGATCCCAGGGTCAGAGGCGCCCCCCGCACCTCGGGGCCAGGCGGGAGGAGGCCTGGGCTCCAGGTGATGATGTAAATGGGAAGGATGTGCCAGTCGTCCCAGGTACCAGGAGACCTAACCAAACAGAGAAGGGGGACACTGTAACTCCCGGGAGCGCAGGCCGGGGAGAGGCTGAGCAGTGTAGCCGTCACACAGCCGCACTGAGGCCATCAACCAACACTTCTGATGTGACCTCGCTGGGCTGATGGGGTGGGAGGAAAAGCCAAGTCCTCTATCCCACAGGAAGTCAGTGTATGATGATCTGAAACAGAGACACCAGAAGGTGAGTAGGTGCCGAGGGGCGTGAGGACAGGCTGGGCGTGGCCAGGGGCTGTTCTGTCATCACCAGCCCTGCAGAACCTTCTGCTTTCTTAGATCACCTGCACATATTACTGTGATGTGAATAAACCTTTAAAAAACACAAATGAAATCAGTACCACCTCTCTCCCTGTGGGCACCTCCTGAACGCGCAGCCCCGCCGTTCTACCCGCTCTGCTGGAGAACCTCAGTCTCCCATCTGTAAAGTGGGGACGGCAAGGATGTGACCGCACGGCAATACCACACAGCAACACCGCACAGGACCACCGTGGAGGTGAACGGATATACT